ATTTGTAGTGATCCAATGTCTACTACAGAACTACGGCTATTTCAAATGCTCATAATGAACCGAGGAAATAAAAATCTGCTTATGGCAGTTCTTCTCAAACTTTCAATACTTGCGACCCTGTTTTCAATCATAATTTTCCTCGCGCTCTCCTTTATACAATATAACTATATGTTGAATCCAATAATAATATAAAGAGTGTTTTTTTCCAGGTATAGAAGTTTAAGTTGGCATTACTTTCCAAGATGGCGACCGATTTAACAGCTGTCAAGTGATTTATTCTCAGTTTGGTTTGGCAATTCATCAAAACGATCATCAAGCAAGGCGCAGATTCGTCGAATGGGCCCAAAACGAGATTGCCGTTGTTCCCAATTTTCATAAGCGAATTTTGTTTAGCGATGAAGCGCACTTCTGGTTGAATGGCTACGTCAACAGACAAAACTGCCGCATTTGGAGTGAAGCTCATCCACAAGTGTATGTCGAAACACCGTTACATCCAGAAAAACTGACTGTTTGGTGCGCTTTATAGGCTGGTGGAATCATTGGTCTTCTTCAAAAACGATGAAGGCCACAACGTTACAGTCAATGGTGATCGGTATAGAGCCATGATTACTAACTTTTTCATTCCTGAATTGAACAATCATGATGTCCAGGAGCTGTGGTTCCAACAAGACGGCGCAACATGTCACACAGCTCGTGCCACAATCGATTTATTGAAAGACACGTTTGGTGACCGCCTAATTTCACGTTTTGGACCTGTGAATTGGCCTCCAAGATCTTGTGATTTAACTTCGCTAGACTATTTTCTTTGGGGCTATGTAAAGTCATTGGTCTATGCGGATAAGCCACAAACGCTTGACTATTTGGAAGACAACATTCACCGTGTTATTGCCGATATACGGCCACAAATATTGGAAAAAGTCATCGAAAATTGGACGTCCAGATTGGACTACATCCGAGCCAGCCGTGGCAGTCCTATGCCAGAAATCATATTTAAAATGTAATGCCACAAGATTATCTTTCGAATAAAAAAAATTCATGTCAATCGAATAATACATCGTTGTTTTTATTGCAATTTAAAGTTCTATACCTCTAAAAAAACACCCTTTACATGAACGTAAAGCTAAAATACGACTTTAATTATAAACCGTATAAATTATCAAGATAAGAATTAAAAGTATGTAATTTGATATTTGAAAATCCCATTGGTAATTATTAACATTGTTCTGAACTCAGAACTGATAAATTATTTATGAAATGCATTGTACTGTTCTGATATATTTACAAGAATATTATATTAGTGTATAAATGTGTATTCTATTTTTTTTTTTTATTAGAATGCATTTTGTTTTGCTGCTCTTTTCAGTAAACTAATAATATTTTTTAAAAATAATATCCTATTTTCGACGTGATCGCTCCCCCTCATGAAGGATGATCACGCCCAACAGTTTGAGAAACGCTGCTTGTGGTGAATTGATTTGATACACAGACTCCGCTCTTCGAACTGCTCCTTGAAAAACTCATAAAATGGTGGAACGGACTATAGAGGCATTGTTTGAAATCCCCCTCTATTCTATCTTTAGCCATTGTTCACATTTATAATGATGATGATGAAGCTGGATTATTTTACAAAATTAGTTAGAATCAAACTGTACTGGAAGAAAATGCATTCGCGGAAGCTGCCGAAAATTAGAATAACTATTCTCGTGTGTGAAAAAATGGAAGGATCTGAAAAAAGAAAACTAACCAAAATGGACAATTGTCAAAAGCCTAGATATTTTAACCTTCTGACCGGAACATCCGTCTCTCAGACAGGGATCATTTGCTTTGATACCTGTAGATAACGCTGTGGTGTGATTTTTAGGGTTGGCTGCCTTGGCATCTTCAGTTGGACTCTACCCAGTGAGAGGATCACGTGCTGGTACATGGCGATTTTTTTCAACTCACGACATGTGCGATTTTTCTTATCAATCACTGTCTATCACACGGATATTCCTATAGTTTTTTCGTGTCTGATATTATTATTTTTAATTACTTTGAAATGAATATAAATAATTTTTAATCAATTTTTAAAATATTAGTCACAACTTTAATGATAAAAATGTATTGCAGAGCTTTATTTAACCCTACACATCTTATTTGAGCCATATTCAGTTTCATGAGCTGTAAGGATTGCATTACAAATATTCTATTGCATTTCCATTGGCTACTCGCTCTATGAAAACAAATAGGAAAGAACATTGAAACAAGTAGTGAAGGCCGATGAAAAATTAATCATGATTCGAAATGTTGTTATTAATATTGATTCGAAAACGTGTTGAAGAAATTGGAATTAACCGTCAAAAGCCGATATTCATCCGAAGAAAGTCATGGCCTGCGTCCTGAAAGATTGAACAGGAATCCTGCATTTTATAAATAAGCCAAGGAACGAGACGATAAATTCAAAATGGATTTGCTCCCAAAAACACGGATTAAAGATAAAAATTGAACAAAAACGTCCAGAAATATGGAAATCAGCTTTGCATTTCATCAGGACAATGTGGGGTCATATGCGTCAACAATTCGATAAAATTGTAGGAACTCGGTTGGGACGTTCTGTCCCCTCCACGAGATGTATGAGATCTCACGCGCGAGTTTTCAAACTTCTATCCATTATACATTTCTCTCTCTCTCTCTCTCTCTCTCTCTCTCTCTCTTCTTCATCAACTCTTTGGTCGAGATAAAAAAACATCATGTAGAAAAGCTAATCGCCGAAAAACTTGTGAGATCCAGATAGGACGGAATTTTCAAGTTGCCTGAAATATGAAAAAAGGTTATGCAGCAGAAAAGAACATAAATAATTAAATAAATACATGGAAATTTTTAATTGTGCTGCATTTGAATTTTTCTACAAAATCGGTATAAATTTTCCAGGCAGCCCAATATATAGTTTTATAGCTAGAATTTTTTAACTACGATAGTTGAACGGTGACTCTACGACATTTCTTCACTTGAAGTCTTGCAAAACATTTCTTCATTTAACATTTTTTAAAAGTTCCCTGGAAAAATATTTTCTTTTTTAAACTAAATTATCAAGAGAACGGATTAAATCTTCATTAATATCGGTTTATCAGTATCAAATTACAAGCAGATTGGTTCAATATAACTATCCCTTCACACACACAAACAACACTATTCAGATAACAGTAAAAAAACCTTAAAAGTTTAGAGGAAGAAGTTGTTGTTAAGCTACATGTTAAACATTGCTATAGTCAATAGGTTCTTGTAATAGAATAATGCAACATTTTTGGAAATCAATTCTAGTTTTCTGTTGGTTTCGCATTCTGTACAAATGACAAAATGTAACAAAGAAATATAAATGCGAGTTTTTAAAAATGATCAAACATATCTTCATTAGAATTAAATTATACAATATGTAATTATATTGTGCCGTATGAACAATTATCAAGAAAGTATTTATAGTTAACTATTAGAGTACCCTTATTTACTGTAATATAGATTTTAACTATTCCACCGCCGTGAGAAATGTTGCTATGAATAAAAAAAATGTATTGAAGAACTTGACGTTAGAGAATATCCAGATTATTCAAGTGTAGTTTAGTGTACAGGGAAAAAAATGTATTGCGGTTAAGAAACTAGTTATGGGATAATTTTTATGCAAGGAATGAAACCCTTTCCTGTTTGGACTGCCCTGTGCTTGAGGTGTCGAATTAAATATTTCTCAACATAAGATAGACAGTACGGAGAAATGATTCCAGATTTTACGAATACTCGTTAAGTCTGAACGTGTGGAATGTATTGCAAATGGCGTGAAGATACGAATCCGAAAATTATTTGTTATAACAAAATTTTGTGTATCTACCTCGTGTGCTGTGTTTTATTTTATGTTTGGATTTATTAATTTTGTGGATTACCCCCGTTTTAAAGATTTCAAGCCTATTGAATATTGAAGGATTTTTATTTAGGTAAGATACATTCCGAGATATTTTTAAAATTTGATATGCTTTCATAATAATTTTTCAGTGTTTTTTACGTAATAATTATTTGGTTGAAAACCATTCAATGGTATATAATTACATTTATTATATAAAGATAGGCATTTAAGTTCTCTTATTATGTGTTCTGTGGAATCAAATTCACATTTGAAGATAGAGACAGGAAAATTATTTGCACTGATTGGTTACTGATAAATATGTAAATATATAAGAAATGAAAGTAATTGGTTACGTAAATATAAAAAATAAACATACTTTTATCCAAAATTTATCCGAGATATTTTTTGTTTGATAAAATATTCAAATATAACGGAAAAATGGTTATGTATTTCAAATATTTGTTTGGGCAGAATTTCATTTCCTTTAAGGATGTTTTTCATTATAAAATAATTTAATTGTTTGGTCACTGATTTTTAATTTTTAGTGTGCATTCATCGCTACGTTATCGTAGTAGAACCAAATGGAATATTTTAAGTAAAAGAGAACATTTCAGAAAAAGTATAAAAGGGTAATGTTAAGAGCTTCCTTATATGTTTTTATCTTCATTGCTTATTTGTGGAAAATCTGACACAATGACGCACATAATAATTTTTTTAGAATATTTATTCAAAATGTTGAATTTCGTTCTCATTACTTGAATATCATAAACTGATAAGGAATTATTTTTTAAAATATACGTATCCTTGTTTAAAAATAAAAAAATATTTATAAAACAAGTAATATAAAAAAAATTTAAGTCAATTCCTACTTAGGGTAAACAAAGAAAATTTTTATTTTAGTTACTTTGTATTAAATAGTTACAATTAATATAAACATGTATATACATATGGCAGAATCATAATATTAAGTAACAAAATAGAAAGCGATTTTCCTTGCAATTTTCCGTTTTCCTTTCCATGGTGCTGGACTATTTTTTGTTTGTTTGTTACTATTTATTAATTAATTAAATTGAATTATTCTAATAAAATAGTATAGTAAAAAAAGAAATCGCATTCCAAGAAATTAGGCCATCCCAGGTGGGATTCGAACCCACGAAATTTGGATTATAAGTCCAACGCGCTATGCATTGCGTACAGGTACACAGCAAACGACTTTCCTTTTTATGTATGGTGTTGGACTATTATTTTGTTGGTAACTATTTATTCGTGAATCAAATAGAATTAATGAATCAATATTTGAAAAATCAGTATTAACATCAAATGTCACCCACAAGTTTAAAAAAGTGTATTTGAACTTGAGCGGATGAATAAAATGTATTTTATTAACGAATGAAAATGTGAACAAGATATATACAGAGAGAGTGTGAACTAAAAGTAGGAATAAAAAATAATGTATGTTATATTTTTGCAAAATGCCAATCAATATTCTAAGGACTATTTTCTTGGCCGTAAGCGTAACATAAAAAGTGGAATCAAATACAAATTTGCTACTAGCATAAATTAATAATACAGTAAAATTAATGTAATTTTTTCTCTCAGAAAAAGATTATCCAGAACACTTTTCTCGACAAAAAAAAAAAAAAAAAAAAAACTACAATTCTTTACACACTTACAGTTCAACAACTTTCACAATATTATACTTTACGAATAAATTGATGAAAACGAAATGATTTATTTAAATATATACTTTGTGTTAAAACACAAGCGTAATTTTCCTGGTATACCCATTACTAAATCCCCCCACAGTATTCCAATATGTCATTGCACTCTTTTTTTAAAAAAAGCTATCAGGAAATATCGTGATAAAAGCTTCCAATGTTTGCTCAAACATACAAAAAAAAGTAAACAACATCGTGAATGAAAGCCGTAAATATCATTCTTTCGAAAGATTATTTCGTCCATCAAATGCCCTCAGATGCAATATCGATACAAACAAATTAAAGGAACGCTAAATAGATTAGCGTACAGGGTTCGCGACCTTTAAATGTATTTGCAAATAGAGCCCGTAAATAAAAAACAGTTTGTATATTACTGTCTCTTTGATGTAAACACCTAACTCTGTGTTGTTGAGTTCCTGGCTTTTTCTAGACGGATTGTTTTAACTTCAGCCAGTCTTCAGTCAGTCAGACACTTTAATTGAAGAGGAAAAGTCTTTAGGGGTTTTCGAGTCCATCTTTGATTAGTTTTCCTGGCACTTCACATATAGTATTCTCTTGTCCCTTGACCTGTTGAAATGTTTGTGCTTTTTTGGATACGAAAGCGAGTTCATTATTCAAAGCAGCAATCCTTTGCAATATTAAGATCATTGACTTGGTGCATAATGAAATGAAAACATTTAAAACTCCAGTGAAATAACCATTCTTTTTTTTAAAGAATGTAAATAAGTTTACTTACATATATTTGCATTGATTTTTGTTTTTGCTCCCATAGGAAAAAAGCATACTGATTAATGAAATGCAATTATTAATATATTCTATTTTTATACCTGTTCGATCTGTGATTAATTCAGCACACACTCATATAAATGGGTATTTATGAGCAGACATATTGAGCTGCGTCTCAAAACCTTTTCTTAAAAGCACAAATATCCTTGACAATGTTAAACCTTTTGAATATTACACCGCCACCTACGATTTGCTTTGTACTTAATTAAGGTGACCAACCGTTCTCCTTTAGGGAGGACAGTCCTTCTTTTATAGGTTCTGTCCTTCTTCGAAAAGTGTCCTCCTACTTGTCCTCCTTTTCAATATTTTAAAACGGATCTGTTAATCTCTATTCAGAGATGAACCCAACCTGTTTTCAATATGTTGAAAAATGTGTGTGTGGTCTGAAACAAATATCACAGGAAATAATAGTTATCAATGGTGTTTTTTGACTTCATCGCAAGTAAATTGGGCAGATAAAGAAAATTGTGTTGAGTTTTCTCGAAAGAAATGCCTGATATTAAAATCATTGACAATTGTCTGTTTGAATAAATTAAACGACTAAATGTATATTTAAATTCCAATAAATTGGAACAATTGGCAAATCAGTATGCTGAAATTGTCAAAAGATGGATGGAAATACTTAACCATTTCAAAAATGAAAACTTTCCATATGATAATAATGTTATTCTTGTTGAATTTACTTTGTGCTGGCCTGGAACTAATGCAGAAATTGAAACAGTTTTTTCAGTTGGTAATGATTTTTGGACAAGTGAGAAATCAATTATGATTGAATGTTGATACTTTAGAAGTAGCACTTACTGTAAAGATCAATATATAAAGTATATTTTTTGCTCCTAAATTTTCGATGTATTAGAAAATGATACACAGACAAAAAAAAATTTTAAGTGGGAAAATATTCGTTTAAATAAATAACTAAAAGGAATGCAAGCGTAATTAGCGTATTTTTATCAGAATTAAAAAAAAATGATGTTTCAAATATTTATGTTGTGACTTTTTCTTAAATTTTTCGCGAGTGTCCTCGTTTTCATTGTAAAAAAAATTGGTCACCTTAACTTAATACGGTTTCGCTTGTCAACGTTCTTAGGTAAATTATTTTAAGAAAATGGCGAATTTTGATTTATCGTAAAATCTGGCGTTTTACGCGCACCTGCGCTTTCAAGTTGGAATTTTTAAGGTATCCGACTACGTTCGGAACCGCGATTTTAAAAAAGCGCATAAATAGATAGTTTTTAGGATATTTAGTATCACTTAAATTAGAATACATTTATAAAAGTGTTTTAAGGACATTTTGAGAAAAAAATATTTATTTAAATACAATATTTTGGCAAAAAAGTAACTTAGAGTAACTTTTTTTCAAATGTTCTCCTTTTATAAAAATGCTTCTAAAATAATAATATTTTGCTTCTATACAGAAAAGATTTCTCTAGAGAGTCTGAACTATTTTTTTTTGAAAAATTCACATTATTTTCAGAGTTACAACCCATTTAAATAATTATCGGCGTTTTTTTCTTAAAATTTCTTCCCTCTGTTGTCGTAAAACATGGATAAACCCACTTCAAAGTTATATGTTTCAAAAATTCTAGTTGAGCCTTTGTACAGAGGTCTGAGCTATATACAGGCAAAATATTATTATAATAGAAGCATTTCACAAAAGGAGAACATTTTGAAAATGGGTCATTCTATGTTCCTTTTTGTCAAAATATTGTACTTAAATAGTTTTTTATAGTAATAATATTCTTAAAACAGTTTTATATACATTTTCTAATCTAAGTGACATTAAATATCATAAATATTATCCTTTTATACGCTTTTGTAAAATCACGGTTCCGAACGTAGTTGAATACCTTAATTTTTAGGTATATTCGCCGTGTAATGCGCACCCACTTTTTTATGAAGGCACCTGAAATGAACGTGCTCAGTGCTCTTATATTTCGAAATCATTTATTCGAGGTATTATTCCAAGCTTTAAAAAAATAGAGAATTTTTAGAACTACAACCCTCTTTCTTGATGTTCATAAATAATGTCATTTCTTAAAAATAAGCAGTATTTTTATATATGTAGAAGTCTAATTTGTTCCTATGTTTACCTTTTTCTTATTTTCATAACCAACGTCTAAAGCACACCCGTAAATTTTCATCTTATTTTTTATGTTAAAAATGCGCGTCATATGACGGATTTTATGATAATTATTTTGTATTATAACATTTATCACCCACATTCTTTCCACTAATAATCCTCTTGGATAATGTGGAAGATCAAATAATGGATCTTTAAAAAGTATTCTGTTAAAAACCTTCCTCCTCCGAAGAAGATATGAATATGTAAAATAGGATTTGTGTTTAAAGATTAAGCTTTCGAGTTAGTGAGAGAGAGGTTAGACTGTGATTGATTAACAGGCGTGTGCACTTCGTAGCTCATTTGAGTAATATTAACCGTTTGATTGCTGAAGAGTTTTCTTATATATATGCGAAAAGTGCGGAATGAAATGCGTAGTAATTTTTTGGAGAACAATAGAAATGGTTATATTTAACTCTAATTATTATGTAACAAGTAATTTTTACCAACAAAAATATTTTTTATTCTCACTTATTACAAGAATGTTTTGCTGCGCAAATTCCATGAATTCCTTTTTTTTTTACATATAGCGCAAATTAAGTTGGATCGTTTAATTCCATTACCATTTTTATTACTGCATACATCACATTGTCGCAAGTTTCGCCCAGGCAATTTTTCTAAAGAAAACTTTGTTCTTAATGGTTGCCTTCCTGTGGCATTTTTGTTTGCTAACCATTCCTCCTCTATAGCATCAATAATGTTCGAAGTAAATTGCAGTCTAATTAATAATAAAAATCCTTTATTAATTTTAAATAAATAATAGCGGCTATACTGCATTACTACTTACCGCGCTGTATTTTATTTTAGTTCTTATATTATTAAAAATCACAATTGAGTAAAATGAATAAAAACTGCGATTGATAGGAATTCAACTGCTCTCAATAGATGCGAAAAGTATACTACCCAACAGCAGCGTCTCCGCATTTTTGGCACATAACAAGCGAAGCGCGCACTCAAACGTTAAAGATTGAAAATTTCGTCAATTAGTGATTGAATTGGATAAGATGGATTGCTGTATTAGAAGGTGTATTACCTGAACGTAAGTGATCCGATTTATTGTTAAAGTCTTCTAATACCTCGTTTACCTCGCTATTGCTTCACATATTTGGTAATTAGAGCGTTTAAACCTGGGTTATTGAATTTGTGTTGTTGTTGATAATTGTGGGAATAAATAGGAGCTGTTTTGAATATGTCTAATCTTCCTTCCGACCCTCTCACACTAATGGATGGCAGTGAACATTCATTACAATATTGTTGCAAATTTGAAGGGGGAGTAACCATCGACTCCAGTTATTTGAATAGTAACAGATTTATTAGTGGACAAGAACAAAGAGATGAATACACGAAGACTAATCGCTGTATATACACGAATAAATATTATAAGAAATTATTTACAATAATGCAAAATGCACTCGTTCATGCTTTACAGTGGTCCAAAAACGTCTCTCTGAAACAGTTTCTTTAGTAGGAACTTAGACAGAGAAAGTTTCTCTCTCTTATCATAGAAAACGCACACGAGTGAACTTTCATCTGAACTGACTCGACCTTTGTTTTGGAGGTCCTTTAGATAGCCTCCTG